CGAGAGAGAACAATATTGATTCAACAGCTATCAAGTGTCTATAGCCGTCCCAATCCTAATGCAGCGGTCCACACGTCAGTGCTGTCCAGTAACGAAATAATGTTTTAGTTCCATCACAGTTAGATGAAAGACAGGAAGGAGATGGAAAGAAACAGAGACGGCCCCCAGGGCATTAAGAAGGAAAAAGAGAGTGGAAAAGAGAGAATTATTTACCAGCTCTCGGAGGTCGGAGTTTGTTTCTTGTATGAATGGTAAATGTGACGTTCATGGACACTGAGTGCTTGAGTCCAGGTGAGGAGAGACAGAATGCCAAACAACACTAGATAAAACATCCACACCCTTCGGTGAACACCTTTGTTGCAGAGACCCTCCTGCCCTCTGGAAGCGATGCTGAGGGCTGTGACGATGTTGTGGAAACTCGTCCAGACGGCTCCTAGCTATCTCTGAGCTAATGGCTTCCTGTGTTTGGACTTCAGCACGGTGTGTTAGATTGACTTTCCCATGAGTCACACTTCGGGCCATTGCTCGAGATGATCTGACCATCTGTCGTCTACAAAATTTCATCCGTTCAGTACCTGTTGATTGTGTGCTCCCCCCCTCCGTCCCCGCATGCAGTGTGTTATCAGCAGGGGTTGTGAGCACTGAGGAGTTATAGTCCGAGTCAGACAAGGATGAATTGAGGCTGTGCTAACAGCTGTGGGCAAGGGAGGGAGGACCGTTGGGAGCACAGAAGTCAGGAATGGCTCATTTGACAGTGGCCCGGGATTGCTGACTAGATTCTCGCAGGGATAAATTACAGTGAAGGCACCAGTTGACCTGGATCTCCATGTCTCATCATCCATTGCTTAACCACACAGGCGTGTTCTGAGAAACTGTCACCAAGCGGTTTTGTCACTCTGCTAACCTTGTGTGTGCTTACACAAGTTAAGATGGCTAGCCATGTCACTTGGCCTAATAGTGTCTTAGGGATTACCATAGTAGAATGGGTTATCGTTTATCAAAATGTCATTATGTGACATGTGACATTTATTACACAGATGATCCAAGAGAGTTTCATATCACAGTGTGCTTGCCTGACAGCAAATTTAACCATGTGTCTCAGCCTGGGTTTTTGAGATTTGGGGAGTGCGAGAGCCTGGGAGAATCAATTTGTGGCATCTTCTAAATGAAACTTTGAGTCTTTTGAGTTCATGTTTCTTAATTTAACAGTACATCCTGCAAATAGAGGCTTTTCTCTGTCTCACCCCATCCTACATCTGTTTCCAAATAATCACTCAGAGGCTTCTATTAATTGTAAATGTTTGGCTGGTAGCTCAGGCTTATTACTAACTAGCTCTTATAACTTAACCCATTTCTGTTAATCTGTGTATTGCCACGTGGTCCTAGCATTACCAATCTGCTGGCATCTTGCTTCTTGGGCAGCTGGCTCCTGTCTTCTTGACTCCACCCTTCTTTCTCCCTGTATTCAGTTTGGCTTTCCCACCCAGCTATATTCTGCCTTGCCATAGGCCAAAGCAGCTTTATTCATCAACCAATAAAAGCAACATGTATTTGCAGCGTACAGAAGGACACCCCACATCAACTCAACATCCCTCTTTATACTGTTCCTACCTATGATACAAGTGCGGTTCACTGCTCGGTCTCATCAAACACTCTTGTCTACGCTACTTTCCTACTTCTTTCCTTGTTCTCTTTGAGGGGCTGTTCTGGGTTTGAACTCGGGGCCTGTACACGCTGAGCAGTTATTTGCCCACTTTTCTATACCCCTCGACCCTTTCTTAACTATTCCGCTTCTTCTCCCGTCTTCTTTTACCTGCTGATTCGAAACAAAATAAAACAAACCCCACCACAAACCATGACAAGTCTTTTTAAGCCTGAAAAAATGCTAATGAATTCCACTTAGAAGTACTGACAGGAAAATACCGGATGTTCTCCTGGAAGGAAGGGGTCAGGCGTGTGGGCGGCGTTTCAGACATGTCTAGGAAGCCCACCTACATCCAGCCAGGGCAGGCAAAGTGACAAGTGTTCTGAAAACTAATTGGGGAGGGTGGTGAGAAAGAGGTGAGCTGATTGGTTCTCCTTCTCAGTGTGTCATTCAGGATCCCTGGGGTGGACAAGGCAGGGCATTGGAGCCTTCCAGAACCCCAGGTTTATCTCCGGGAGCCCTTGGAGTGTATGCCACAGTCTTGGGGAGCTGTCATAGCTCCCAATCAAAGGTCTGTGCCTTTGGAGTGTCCTGAGCCAGTTGTGTGGAAGTTGACCTCACACCTTGCACCCTGGAGCTGCTCAGTACTTACTCATTACTACAGAAACCCTGAGCAGCGGCTTCTCAAGGGGAGGGCTTCCCAGAGTACACAGTCCCCTCTAAAACGGGCCCACTGAAGAGGCCACGTGGCCAGAGAGCCAAGATGAAAGATGTTTTCTTGATTCAATAATTTCATTTATCAAAGCTTTCTAGAAGGACCCACATTTAATTGCCCAAGAGGGGCAGGTACATATATCCTCCGCCTCCTGAAACTTACCCACAAAGCTGGCAGATTGTTCCTGTGGGTGGGGGGGTGGGGGGGGTGCATGGAGGACTGAAACAATCGTGATGTGGAAGCTACTGTGCCTAGCTCCCTCAGATGCATGGGTAGATCACAATAGTGGCAGACATTTGTCTTTTGGAACTTTGTATTGTTCATAGCCACCCCACACCCCAGTGGATCAGCTGAGCATCTCCAGGGGTCCTTTCATTTGTCCAAGACTGAGGGGGAAGGAGGGGAGGAGAGAGGAGAGACAGAGAGAGGGGAGAGCCCGAGAGCACAGGCTGGCTAGCAGTCATACAGCCAGAAAGCAGCCATGTCTAGACTCTAAGGCTGGAGGGTTTCAGACTTCTCACTAGAGAGTGCTTCTCAGGGCGCTGCCACCATCCAGCTCTAGTGCCAGGAGCCGAGTTTAGAATAACTAGAATAAGGAACCAAGCAGGTTTCTACATCTGTTAGTGGTGAATCTCACTGAGTGGTATATATGTTAGGGGAAGATGATTGAGACCTAGAGGTATAATGATAGGTCATGGAGGAACTGAGCTCCTAGAAGTAGAGGGTCCTGACAGAGGCCAGGGGAGGGGGCTGAGTCCCCAGTACTGGGGCTGGACAAGACTCTTATCTCCTAGGTTCTAGAGTGAGATTCCTTGGAGGAACCAAGTGACCCCAGTTGGCAAAGCTTAGTGCTCAGTCTCTATGATTGCATCCCTGAAGACCTGTAGAGTCAACGACATTCTTGGAGTGTCCCCTACCCCCCAACTTTTTTGCCTATGCTATTCTAGAGTGATCAGTCAATCAATAGGAGGAGCATGCTCTCTCCTTCAGGAGGTTGTTGTTGTCTGGTCTTGGAAATGTCTTTATCCTGCACCATCAAAAAAATCATTCGTTGCCGGGCGGTGGTGGCGCACGCCTTTAATCCCAGCACTCGGGAGGCAGAGCCAGGCGGATCTCTGTGAGTTCGAGGCCAGCCTGGGCTACCAAGTGAGTTCCAGGAGAGGCGCAAAGCTACACAGAGAAACCCTGTCTCGAAAAAACCAAAAAACCAAAAAAAAAAAAAAAAAAAAAAAATTATTCGCACCCTTGAGTTATTTCTGCATATCATTATTTAAATGATTCTTACTGGGTAGATACTACTTTGATTTTATTAGTAAAAAGAATAAAAATATTTAAATGAGGTTTTTTTGGAGGTGGGGGAGTCCTGCTTAGTTACTTCTCCTTAAAAAAAATTACTTTGTAGAAAGATAATTAGAAGTTATATTAATACCCCGTGTTCTAGTTTTCTTTCTGTGGCTGTGATAAAATGCTCTGGGGAAAAAAAGGAAAGACAACTTGGAGGAGGAAAGGGTTTATTTGGCTTACACTTCCAGGTCACCATGGCCCATCGCTGAGGGAAGTCAGGGCAGGACTCAGGAGGAGTGTGAAGGTGAAACCGTGGAGGAATGCAGCTTGGCGCTTTGCTCATAGGCTCGTGTTTAGCCAGCTTCTTATACAGCCCTGACCACCCATTCAAGGAATGGCACTTCTCACGGTGGGCTGGACCCTCCTACATGGATTATCAGTCAAGATAGTCCCCTCATAGACACGCTCACAGTCCAGTCTGCTTTGGGCTATCCTTCAACTGAGGCTCCCTTCTCAAAGTCCCTACAGGGTGTGTCAAGCTGGCAGTTAAAGCTAACTAGGATAGCCCATTTCCCATTGTGTTTTCATGCATTAGTTTGTAGCGCCTCTTGGTAATTTTCTTTTCCTTTTGTGGGGAAGAGGGTGTTCTGAGGATTGTATTTAGGCCCAGCGCGTGCTAGGCAAGCGTTCTACTACTGAACTACACCCCCAGTCTCCACTGGTAATTTTCTAACTGTATTGTATTGTCTGTGCAAGAGCTTTCCCTCTTACATCTGAGCAAGGACCCTGGATTCTTTCGTTGCTCGGTGGTTATAATTCACTACCAGTCTTACGGGTTTGGATTCCCAAGCCCTCCCAGATTTGTCCAGTGGGACCCCTCTGTCTAGCTTTTCTGTCCTTTGACTTATCTTCATGATTCTTTGAGCGTCTCCTTATTTTGCAGTACAAGAAGATGCTCACAGTCCGTCTATTATTACCTTTTCTGTCCTTGTAATCAGCCGTTTTTTTAAGGAGCTATTGTTCTTTCTAAGGGAGAATGCTATCAAGAAATAAAGATCTGGCTGTCTGGGTGTCTGAGTGCTCTTACTGACTGGGGTGTCACTGCCTCCAGGGCCTCCCAGTGTGTCGGACTAGAGGTGCAAGCGTGTGTGCGTGCGTGTGTGCGTGTGTGTGCGCGCGCGCGTGTGTGTGTGCATGTGTGCGCGTGTGTGCGTGTGTATGTGTGCGCGTGTGTGTTGCAAATAAGTACAGATTTAACTTTTAAAATCTGGAGGTTGACAAAATGCACAGAGGTGGGAGTCGACTTAAACACAAATGTACAGTTCTGAGTGTGTCATCTCTTTCAATCTTCAACAGTTGGCTCAATCCCTTGTTTAAAACTGGCCACAAGCGGAGACTGGAGGAAGATGACATGTTCTCAGTGCTTCCCGAAGACCGCTCAAAGCACCTTGGAGAGGAGCTGCAAGGGTAAGCGCGAAGCAGTGAGAGAAGGTAGGGAAGGCGAAACCAGCGTGTATGCGGTTTATGGCTTGGAGGAGGTTTGGCCTTCCTGGGTCCCAGCAGGCCTTGCTGGGTGCCATTCTCCCCACATGGCGCACTTCCCCTCAGGTTGTCCTGGCTTGGCCTGACTTAGTTATCTGGGGAAAGAAAACCTGTGTTGGTAGACGTGGGGGGAGCCTGCTCCACAGGCCCTCCATGCCTGAGATCTGTCCCTGGGGGAGGTTTCCCCAGCGCGGTGCCTGCCTTCTCTGGCCGCCAAGGTTGCTGTAATCCAGCAAAGCTCGGCAGTAACATGTTCCCTGAGATGTTCCCCCTTGAGGCCCAATTTTTTCTGGTGCAGCAAAGTCTGCCTCACGCATCTTTCTGGGTCCCTCGGGACAATTAGCCAGTGTTTGTGCAGTCCTCAGAATAACCCTGTCATAAACACTCATCTGTCCTGCCCCCTCCCTGCTTCATGCAGTGGCCCTGCATGCTGTTTTGACTCAGCTCTTGTCTCTTTGTAGGTATTGGGATAAAGAAGTTTTGAGAGCCAAGAAGGATGCACGGAAGCCTTCCTTAACCAAGGCAATCATAAAGTGTTACTGGAAATCTTACCTGCTTTTGGGAATTTTTACGTTAATTGAGGTAAATGTTTGTTATATCCTGGCAACTGTTTCTGGGTGGGTGTACGAGGAGGAGACATGCTGACTGTTGATCACTGTTGAGATGAGTGGGAACCAGCAGGAAGAAGAGGCCAGATGAACTTGAAAGTGTGATGAGCTCAGGGAAGAAGCATGACGAAGTTCATTAGCTGTGTCTTTGCAGTGGGTGATGCTTAAGTGATTGAAGCTGATGGACGTTGCTGTTTCTTCTAAGTAATTAAATCCAGTGCTACGGCTCAGCAGTGAAGAGTACTTACTGCTCTTGCAGAGATCTGGGATTCAGTTCCCAGCACTCACATGGTAGCTCACAACCATTTCTAAGTCCAGTTCAAAGGGATCCTACACCATCTTCTCACTTCCATGGGCTCCAGCATATATACAGTGCACATCCTTTACACTTAGGTACACACACATACATACAAAATAAATAAATTTTTAAAAATGTCTAAAATCCGGTGTCATAGGAAGCTGGCAATGTTCTATAGCACACTGTGAATGCTGGTACTCAGTCAGTGTGGTAAATGCACAGAGTCATCTTTGATCACTCCTGAGGAGACATGTCCTGTGGTTTGGAGGAAGTGCATTTGGATCAGAGCCCAGAATAACCAGTGCCCAACGAGTAATTGTTAACTTCACCATGCCAAATCCGATAAATGCTTTCCTGGGAAGGTATTGTCAACTTTCCCCTCCCAGGTAACTAAGACTTGGTGCCATGTGCCTGGGCTAGCTGTGGTGCCCCAGAGGCCAGGACTCACTGGAGCCCAGGAGTTACTCACCCTATTCCCAGTGGCTGGACACTGAGAGCTATACCCGTTCACCCTGGGCTTCTCTCCTTGCTGTGGAATAGATTGCTGGTCTAAGTTGAGTTCTGGTAGCCTGGGATTGCAGAGTGGATACAAGTGGTGTTCACTGACTGACCAAAGATGGAAAGCCGTGAGACCCTTCAGGGTCGTCCAGTAGATCATCGTTTGTTAGGGGACAGTGCCTGTGCTTGCCAGTGGCTTGCTGCAGAGGATCCTGAAAATTTGGCTGTGTGGCTTGTCCCTTTGGTGGTGTGTTTAAGAGAAAAACATTATTTGTATTTTTATTTATGTATATGTGTATTTATGCCACATGTATTGGGATGTCTGACGAGGCCAGAAGAAGAGGTCTGATCCCTTAGAGATGGAGTTACAAGGCCTTTATGAGCCTCCTGACCTGGATGCTGGCAGTTCAGTAATAAAAGAAAGTTCTTGAACAATACTGCCTACCGGGAACCATGTATGAGTCCTTTAGACATGATGTTAATTTTATTCCTTTTAGGACTTTGGTGAGGGGGGAGGTATTCTTATTATCAGCAAGCCCCCAAGTTCTGAGTTGTCAGTATGTGTGCCCAGGAACACCCCAAAACATAAACGGCCAAGTTGAGTTTCTGTTTCAGGCACTCTGAGATGAGCCCAGACCTAGGCTGGGGCTGGTCAAAGGTCATGAACTTTGTCCTTAGCATCCCACGTGACTGTTGGTTGACCTTAGCCGGGGGATGATGGTGCCAAGATGGCCTTGGAGCAGGGGTGGCACATGAGTGTATCAGTTAGGATGCGGTATAAGTTACAGGATCTCCTGGGGCCAGAAAGTCACATGCAGTACTAGAAAGTGGCTGTCACTGGCTGGTCGGCGTGTCCCAGTGTGTCCAGATGTACCTGGAGTCCTGTGTCTGAGGTTGGGCTGCCTTACACACCCACGTTCTGGATCCTCTGTTAAGGCACCACTTTCCCTGTTCGAACCCCTACACTGCACTGTGTTTAGGTCACTGTCTTGTTGGTTTATGATCTAATACTGGATGTGATTGCTCAATTCCCTTGATGGACATAGTGACCAGTGTTGAAGGCTCACATTGATTTTGTATCTCTGCTATGATCACTAGCAGACCTTCTAATGCAGTGAAATCTGGGGAGCTACGCGTCATTTGTGTTCGGCTAGGAAAACTTTCGGGATTTATCCCCCCACCCCCCCCTCAGCCAAAAGAAGCATGCATTCCAATACAAATACTTTTGTTTCACAGACTGGCTCATTGATGCTGATGAAAAAGTCAGAAATAATTTCTTTTTTTTTTTTTTTTTTTGGTTTTTCGAGACAGGGTTTCTCTGTGTAGCTTTGCGCCTTTCCTGGATCTCACTCTGTAGACCAGGCTGGCCTCGAACTCACAGAGATCCGCCTGGCTCTGCCTCCCGAGTGCTGGGATTAAAGGCGTGCGCCACCACCGCCCGGCCAGAAATAATTTCTTATGGGGAAGCGAGTAAGGATCCCACTACGTTTCAAAATTCCTGTCCCGGTGGGTGTGGTGGCACATGCCTGTTACTCAAATAGGTGGGAGCTTGAACAAGGAGAGGGAGTGTTCAGGTCAGCCGGGGCTAGTGAAACCTGGTCTCAAACACCAAGAAGAAATAACCTTCAAATGATGTTTATGATTTTATATGCGTTCCTTTACTCATGGCCGTGATCTAGTACCTGACAAGAGGGAGTGCTTGCTGTGGCTTGCAGTTTGAGGGAGCACACAGCCCATCACGGTGGGAGAGCGTGTGGGCCGGAACAGGGGGTGGTCGGCCACACTGCATCCATTCAGGAAGCAGAGAGATGAGTGCCAGCGGTCCGCCCTTCTCCTTACTCAGCCCAGGACCCTAGTCCATGGATTGTTGTCACCCACGTCCAGGGCGGGTCTTCCCAGCGCACTTGATCAAGGCTAGAAATCCCTCACAAGCATGCCGAGAAGTTTATCTCCTGGGTAATTCTGTGTCCTGTAGGGTTGACAGTTACTGTTAACCATTGCAGGTTTCCATCCTTGCGGCTAGCTCCTAAGCTAGATGGGATGAGCGCTCGTTTAATAGTTGATTTTATGAATGGATTTTTCACTTTGTGATCTCTGCTCTGTGTTGGTCATTGGTCTCTGAGTTTCATATAGTAGAAGGATGAACTCGGTGTGGCATTTTGTACAAAACAGATGTATTTCTTTTTTTTTAAATTTTTTTTATTTTAATTAGCTTAGATGTAGTTAGTTTCTTTTTTTTGGTATTGTATTTTTTTTATTTAATTTTTTTAATTTTTATTTTGCAATACAATTCAGTTCTACATATCAGCCACAAATTCCCTTGTTCTCCCCCCTCCCGCCCCCCTCACCTTCCCCCCAGCCCACCTCCCATTCCCACCTCCTCCAGGGCAAAGCCTTCCCTGCGGACTGAGATCAACTTGGTAGACTCAGTCCAGGTAGGTCCAGTCCCCTCCTCCCAGGCCGAGCCAAGCGATCCTGCATAGGCCCCAGGTTTCAAACAGCCAACTCATGCAATGAGCACAGGACCCGGTCCCACTGCCTGGATGCCTCCCAAACAGATCAAGCCAATCAACTGTCTCACCCATTCAGAGGGCCTGATTCAGTTGGTGACCCCTCAGCCATTGATTTATAGTTCATGTGTTTCCATTCATTTGGCTATTTGTCCCTGTGCTTTATCCAACCTTGGTCTCAACAATTCTTGCTCATATAAACCAAAACAGATGTATTTCTTTGGTGACTCAAAAGCACGTGGACCCACCCACACCAGCAGGGCCTCCCCTGACTGTTAATGGGGGCGTCACCAGGGGAGAGGCAGCATGATGCTAGTTGCAGGAAGAGCCTTACGTTATGATTTCTAAGTACTGCTCCACCTTGTCTTGTGAGGACTGAGGATTGATTGTAAAGTTTGGAGAAACAAGTGTGAGAGCGACTGTGAAAACACACTCCTGCAGACCAGTGAAAGCCAGCTCAGAGCAGAAAATGGGTTCCTGTTCCCTGTGTGCACCTCTAGGGAAATGCCATGGGGATAGAAAGGAGTTTCCACCCATCCGGAGCCTTCACAGTAAAGAACGTTTTGGGGGGATCTGCACAGGCTGCCCCCTCGTACTGTTCCAAGCCTGGGTTTTGAGGTGTGAGGTTTCTTGTCTGTGGGAGACTGAAGCTGGGAACATCAAGGGATCCTCAGTGCTCTCTCTGACATGTGCTGCCTGCCATAGGCAAGGCCGGGCAGGGGTCGGCTAAGTCTTGTTCTCTTGACCTTTGGCAAGAAGGGCCACTATAGTGTGCCAGCCTCACCTGCTGACTTGGCCTTTGGCCAAGACTTTTTTCTTTCTAAGGTTTACTTTTATTTTTTTCTGTGTGAGTGTGTGTGTGTGTGCACCCATTTATTTGCACCACATGCATGTAGTGCCCACAGAGGCCAGAAGAGGGCATTGGGTCCTCTGGAGATGGTGATGGGGACTGTTGTGAACATGGTCAAGGCTTTTGCTTGTCTGTGGTACAGGTGGAAGCTGGAGGGGCTACGGGAGGCTGCCGACTGAGGTAACCCCAGGTCAGACAGAGGTCAGCAGTCAGTTCCATGGTGACACCTGTGCCTTTACTCAGGGCTGATCCCTGGGAGGTGCCCTGGCCCTTTGCATTTCCCAGCTCTCTTCTAAGTGCTCCTCACCTTCAGCTCATTTTGGGAGGCCCAGGAGCAGATGGGGGAGATGCCCCAGGCAGGGACAGGAGGAGCAAGCCTTGAATAAAGCAGGTGTGGTCGGCTGTGTGTCCTGTGGGTTCCTGGGCAGTCTGCATTAGCTTATCAATGTTGACAGGGTTACCCTCAGTGAGAGACAAAGGAAAACGCTTTTAACTGTTTTCTTTAAAAAGTCAGAGGATCAGTTGCTTCTCTGGAAAAGGATTGTATTCGTAATGGTAGGAAAGGAAGATCAGCAACTAAAACACTGTCTTCAAATGGGGTTCTTCATGCGACTTCCAGGGAAGCTCGGCTTTCCTAAAGAACTCTGGTCAAGACTCTTATTCTGCAGTGGTCCTCTGGAAGCAGTGGGGTTTCAAAGGCCCGTTTTGTGAAAGCTGATGTCTTAGCCACTAATCATTGTGTTTGCTCATGCCTTTTAATTTAACTTAAATTTTTAACGTTTTGTGCAGAGGATGGAACCTCAGAATTTTGAGCGTGC